ATGCCACTGCACCTGGCCATTGACTTGTTCTTGATCTTAGAAGAAAAGCTTTCAACTTTTCACTGATGAGTGTGATGTTAGCTGTAGGTTTGTCACTATATAGTCATTATTGTGATGTGGTGCTTTCCTCATTTTTGTATTTTTAGTAGAGATGGGGTTTAACCATATTGGCCAGGCTAGTCTTCAACACCTGACCTCGTGATCCACCCGCCTCAGCTTCCCAGAGTGTTGGGATTACAGGCGTGAGCCACCACACCCGGACCCTTTTTGGTTTCTTTACAGTTTTAGACGTAAAGTCTATTTTGTCTTACTATGTATAGCTGCCCTTGCTCCCTTTTGGTTTCCATTGCATGGTGTATCTTTTTCCATTTCATAACTTTCAGTCTATGTGTGAAGGGAGTCTCTTATAAGCAGTATATAGTTGGGTCTTGTTGCTGTTTTTCTTAAAATCCATTCAACCACTCTTGTCATTTGATTGGGTAATTTAATCCATTTAGATTCAAGGTAATTATTGATAGGTAAGGATTTACTACTGCCATTTTGTTAATCATTTTCTGATTTTGAGGATTCTTTGTTCCTTTCTCCTCTCTTGCTGTCTTCCTTTGTGATTAAGTGATCTTCTCTGGTGATATACTTTGATTCCTTACTTTTTATCTTTTTATCTTTATTCTGCCATAACTTTTCACTTTGTGGTTACCATAAGGCTTACATAAAATGTTTTATAATTATAACAGGCTATTTTATGTTCATAACAACTTAATTTTGATCGCATAAAAAATTCTACTCTTTTATTTCACGATTCCCTCATTTTATGCTTTTGATGTCACAATTTACATTTTTTTATATTGTGTGTCTCTTAATAAATTATTGGTAATTATTATTTCAGTACTTTTGTCTTTATAGTAAAGACATACGTAATTTACATATCAGCATTACAGTATGAGTATTTTTTATTTGAACTACATGTGTACTTACTTTTCCCAGTGAGTTTTATACTTCTAAATGTTTCATATTATTAATTAGTTTTTCTTTCTTTCAACTTGAAGAGTTCCTTTTTTGCATTCCTGTAAGACAGGTCTGGTGGTGATAAGTTCTCAGCTTTGTTTGTCTAAGAAAATCTTTATCTCTCCTTTATTTCTGAAGGATAGCTTTACTGGGTAGAATATTCTTGCTTGGCAGCTTTTTCCTTCAGCACTTTGAATATATCATTCTTCTCTGTTTTGGCCTGTAAAGTGTCTGCTGAGAAATCTACTGCTAGCCTTATGATAACTCACTTATAAGTGATTTGCTTGTTTTTGCTTGCTGCTTTCTATATCCTCTCTGTCTTTTTGACAGTTTGAGTATGTCTTGTTGTAGTTGTGTTTTGAATTGAATCAGATTGGAGACTTTTTAACCTTCCTTTGCCAGGATATGTATATCTTTCACCAGATTTGAAAAATTTGTCTATTATTTATTTAAATGAGATTTCAGGCCCTTTGTCTCTTTCTTCGCCTTCTTAAAATCAAATAATTTGTGGCTGGGCAGGGTGGTTTGCACCTGTAATCCCAGCACTTTGGGAGGCCAAGGCAGGTAGATCACCTGGGGTCAGAAGTTCAAGACCAGCCTGGCCAACGTGGTGAAATCCTGTCTCTACTAAAAATACAAAAATTAGCAAGGTGTGGTGGTGGGCACCTATAATCCCAGCTCCTTGGAAGGCTGAGTTGGGAGAATCACTTGAACCCAGGAGGTGGAGGTCACAATGAGCTGAGATCATGACATTGCACTCCAGTCTGGACAACAGGAGCAAAACTCCATCTCAAAAAAAAAGAAAATCCAATAATTTAAACATTTGCTCTTTTGATGCTATCCCATACATCTTGTAAGCCTTCTTCATTTCTTTTCATTCTTTTATTCCCCCTCTGACTGTATATTTTCTCTTTTCTTTTTCTTTTTTCTTTTTTTTTAAGATGGAGTTTTGCTCTTCTTGCCCAGTCTAGAGTGCAATGGGGGTGGGATCTTGGCTCATGGCAACCTCTGCCTCCTGGATACAAGCAATTCTCCTGCCTCAGCCTCCCGAGTAGCTGGGATTACAGGTACCTGTCACCATGGCCAGCAAATTTTTTTTTTTTTTTTTTTTTTTTTAGTAGAGACAGGGTTTTACCATGTTGGCCAGGTCTCAAACTCCTGACCTCAGGTGATTCACCCGCCTCACTCTCCCCAAGTGCTGGGATTACAGGCATGAGCTACTGAGCCCAGCCTTTGACTATATATTTTCAAATAACTTGTCTTTGAATCCATGGATTCTTTCTTGTGCTTGATCAATTATTTTGTTGGTGCCCTCTATTGCATTCATTGTGTTTCTTAGCTTTAGAATTTCTGTTTGATTTTTTAAAATATATTTTCAATCTCTGTTAAATTTCTCACACTGGTCATTTATTTATTTTTTATTTTCATTGAATTGCTTCTTTGTGTTTTCTTGAAGTTCACTGAGCTTTCTTATTTTGAAGTCTTTATTTTACAGTTCATAAATCTTAATTTCTTTACAGTCAGTTACTGATGCTTTATTTTGTTCCTTTAGTGGTGTCACATTTCCCTGGTTATTGTTGTTGTTCTTCTTCTTTGAGATAGGCTTTCAGTCTGTTGCCCAGGCTGGAGTGCAGTAGCATGATCATGGTCCACTGCAGCCTCAACCTCCTGTGTTGTAGGGATCCTCCCACCTTAGCCTCCCAAGTAGATGGGACTACAGGTGCAAACCACCACACCCAGCTAATTTTTGTATTTTTGTAGAGACAGGATTTTACTATTTTCTCAGAATGTTTTGGTCTCCACTGGGGCAGGCCTGAGGCCCAGTCTGTGGGCATTCATCTGATATCTAGGACCATGTGGGCTTGACCACTGCATTCTACTGGGGTGGCCCTAGTGTTGAGGTCTGAGTCAAAGCTTGTTGCCTACTTCCCTTTCCTTCTCATAAGTGGAGGGTATGCCTCGCCACACTGTGCTGACTGAGGTTGAGGCAGGGCTGTTATGGGTAATGCAAAACTGTCCTTCCTACTCTTCTCAATATGTCTTTTCTTATTTCTGCACTACAATCAGGTGCTGTAATCTCTCAGCTGGTATCCTTAGTGCTTGTATTTTCATGCATGGATAGTTGTTCAAATTGATGTTTCTGTGGGAAATATATGCTGGAATGGCCCATTTTGTCAACTTACTCATGTCTAGACCCTGTCTTCTTCCTCTAGGGAGAAAGATGTTTGAGCAAGCAAGAGGAATAGATGCATAGATCACCATCCTAAAGCCCACATGCATGCAATCTCGACAATTTCTTTGTATTGAATTGTATGGAATATGAATTAGTAGCAACTACAATCATTTCACATTAATGAGTTATTAGTTCTCTCCTGGGTTTTGCTCTTTATTTTGAAGATTTAGCCTTTAGTGGCACATGTGTGTACCACAAAGGGACAGGGTATTTCTTTGTAAACTTAAAATACCTACAAACATCAGGAAATATTTTCAAATTCAAGGGAAAGGCTTAAGTAAACCAATAGATTAGAGAAAATCAGGATGGGTGCCAGGCGCAGCGGCTCACACTTGTAATCCCAGCCCTTTGGGAGGCCGAGGCAGGCAGATCATGAGGTGGGCAGATCACGAGGTCAAGAGATCGAGACTATTCTGGCCAACATGGTGAAACCCCGTCTCTACTGAAAATACAAAAATTAGCTGCGTGGTGGTGCATGCCTGTAGTCCCAGCTACTTGGGAGGCTGAGGCAGGAGAATCACTTGAACCCGGGAGGCAGAGGTTGCAGTGAGCCGAAATCACACCACTGCACTCCAGCCTGGGTGACAGAGCGAGATTCCATCTCAAAAAAAAAAGAAAAGAAATCAGGGTGTGCACAGTGGCTCACTCCTGTGGCTCATTTCCTAAGCTTTGGGATGCTAAGGTGGACGGATCACTTGAGTCCAGGAGTTCAACACCAGCCTGGGCAAACATGGTGAAACCCTGTCTCCTCAAAAAATATAAAAAATTAGCTGGGCATTGGTGGCACACACCTGTAGTCCCAGCTACTAGGGAGGCTGAGGCAGGAGGATCGCTTGAGCTTAGGAGGTTGAGGCTGCAGTGAGCCGAGATCATGCCACTGCACTGCAGCCTAGGTGACAGAGTAAGATTCCTGTCTCAATAAATAAATAAATAAGGAAATCAGAAAACCTACAAGCTATACTAATGCTTAGTTCCTGAATGTTGGCCGACAATGAATAATTCAGGACATCTGAAATACAGTAAACAACAAAAACTTACTTGACTACTCTCCCACTTCAAAACCTGAAGCATATTGAAGTAGAGATGGCAGGATTTTCTCATGCAGGAAATGTGGGATGTGAATTAAAACAGAAGGATCACTTGATGGCTGTGGACCTGAGCACTGGAGGGATAGAGTTGCAATTAGGTGACGTGAGGAATTCCGCAGGGGAAGCAAGTTTTGGAGCAGAATTTTTTATTAGGGATATTTTAGTAATTAAAAATTTAGATTCATGTGTTCATCACAACTCCACACTCTTACCTGATTTAGAGCTCTGTCAGTCTCCCAGCTCCAAGAATCTTCAGGCTGGGAAGCCAAGAGGTGGCGAGAAGGCATGGATAGCTTCCGGTCCTCTTTTCCCACTGTGGCTCTGCTCCTCTTCCCCAGCCCTCACCATGTTTTCTCCAGCTCCTCTTCTGGGACAGAAAGGGACAGAAAGATCTTACTGACAGGTACCCTATGAATGTGCCCCCTAAGGGATGGAGATCCTAGGGCTGGCCCCTCCCTGAATCCTTCAGAGATTCCTGGTAATGCCCCTCATCTGACTGCTATTTTGACTGTTCCCTGCCATCTTTTAGGCCACCTCTCTTTTGGGATCCCGTGGCCTCTCCAGGGAAGGATCCAAGAGAGACCCAGGATCCACATTTGGTCCATAAGAACCACCCGTGCTTTGCTCCATCCTCAGAGGGTGTGTAGTCCACATCTTAACACAGCCCCCGGACCATGGCGGCTGTCGATTAGCGGAGTCTGGAGGACGAACAAGAGGAGGACGAGGAGGAGCAGTTGGTTCTGGTGGCGTTATCAGGAATCATTGATTCAGACTTTCTCTCAAAATGTGAAAACAAATGTAAGATTTTGGGCATTGACACTGAAAGGCCCATTCTGCAAGTGGACAGTTGTGTCTTTGCTGGGGAGTATGAAGACACTCTTGGGACCTGTGTTATATTTGAAGAAAATGTTGAACATGCTGATACAGAAGGCAGTAATAAAACAGTGCTAAAATATAAATGCCATACCATGAAGAAGCTCAGCATGACAAGAACTCTGCTGACGGAGAAGAAGGAAGGAGAAGAAAACATAGGTGGGGTGGAATGGCTGCAAATAAAGGATAATGATTTCTCCTACCGACCCAACATGATCTGTAGCTTTCTACATGAAAATGATGACGAAGAAGTGGTAGCTTCAGCCCCAGATAAACCTTTGGAATTGGAAGAGGAAGAGATTCAAATGAAAGACAATTCAAACCTGAGTTGTGAGCAGGAGAAACCACTGCACTTGGAAATAGAAGATTGTGGTACTCTTATTGATATACCTTCTGAGACAGAAGGTTCTATTTTTATGGAAACTCAAATGCTGCTGTAGAAATCAGTCCTAGATGAAATGTTTCTGCTAATAACTTGTCAAGTACTTTTTAGAATTCTTACATAAAAATAATTGCTGTGTAAAAAAAAAAAAAAAAAAAAAAAAAAACAGCCCCCTCTACTCTGCCACCATTGGCCACTTTGGCTGGAAGAATATTTTCAGAACTCATCTCTGTACTACACAAACTCCAAGGACCTCAAGTCAAATTCTCCAATGGATTCTCTTGAGGTCCTTTCTGTTGCCTACTTAAAGTGACCTGGCAACTGACCAAACATATGTGTGTGTGTATATATGTGTGTTTGTGTGTGTGTGTATGTGTGTGTGTATATGCACATACATACACATACACATATACATATATAAACATACATGCATGCATGCACACATATACAAACATACAATTAACAGAAGACATGTAGGCAGATGGCCATAGCAGCATAATAGTCATATTCTGGAAACAATCCAAATTTTAATTAGCAATAGAATGGATAAATAATGGGCCGGGCACAGTGGCTCACATCTACAACTCTAGCACTTTAGGAAGCTGAGCCGGGAGAATTTCTTGACCCCAGGAGTTTGGGGCCAGCCTGGGCAACATGGCAAAACACCATCTCTAGCAAAAAAATACAAAATTAGCCAGTCATGATGGTGCACACTTGTAGTCCCAGCTACTACTTGGGAGGCTTAGGTGGTAGGATTGCTTGAGCCTGGGAGGTGGAGGTTGCAGTGAGCTGAGATCCCACCACTGCCCTCCAGTCTGGGTGACACAGCAAGACGCTGTCTAAAATAATAATAATAAAAAAAAGAATGGGTAAATAATAGTAGTATTTTTTTAATGTAATTTTAAAAAAAAGAATGACTACTACCATAATGTGGGTACATTTCACAGGCATATGTTAAGTCAAAGAAATGAAATACAAAAGAATATACGCTGTTTGATTCCATTTATATGACTTTCAAGAACAGACAAAACTAATCTATGCTGTTAGAAGTCAAGATAGTAGGGTAAGTAGTGAGTGGACAAGAGGGAGGTTTTGGGAAGATCTACTGGAATACACTCTAACCTAATCTGGGTGATGATTACATTTGTTATGTAATGGGCTTATACATTTGTACAATTTCATCTAGCTCTACAGTTGAGATTTGTGCATTTTATTACATGTATGTTATACATCATTAAGAAAGTGAAGACACAATTTGGCTGGGCACAATGGCTCATACCTATAATCCCAGCATTTTGGGAGGCTGAGGCAGGCGGAGCACTTGAGGTCGAGAGTTTGAGACAAGCCTGACCAACATTGAAAAACCTCGTCTCAACCAAAAATACAAAATTAGCTGGGCATAGTGATGCTTGCCTGTATTTCCAGCTACTTGGGAGGCTGAGGCAGGAGAATTGCTTGAACCCAGGAGGCAGAGGTTGTGGTGAACCGAGATCATGCCATTGCACTCCAGCCTGAGCAACAAGAGCAAAACTTCATCTCAAAAAATAAATACAGAAAAATAAAGAAAACACAATTCATGGAGAAATTTCTCCCAGTTATTCATACATTGCATTTTCATCATTTGATGACATAAGCTGGGGATTATTTATAAAGAATCCTTTAATTGTGAGGACATTCTGAGCCCAAAACTGGCAGAGGCATTTCAAAAGTGAAGATGTTATGTCTAAGTAAAAATAGCCCCCTTCCTTTGCTGCATGCTTCTCAAGCAGCTTGGCTTCCTGGGTTTCTACCAGAATTTACCAGCAGGGGTCAGCCCTGTACAAAATCCAGAAGCTTGAGCCTCCCGTGAATTGGAACTAGCTCTGGTTCAGCCAAGCCATTCTGGCCTTCTAGCTTTCTCACTTCACATTCCCAGCTACACTTCCCTCGGCTCTGTTGCCACCACCCACTCCCATGATCACAACATGGACCAGAAACTTCACAGCCTTCCTCACTCATTCAAACACCCTCTCCTTTCCTTCCATACTCTCAAGTAACCCCCCAGCAACACTCCTTTCACCTTACTAAGTCCTTCAGTACAAGACCTGCTGTTCTCTCTCCATCCTGCAGTCCCCTCCTCTCTTCACTCTCCCCTTTTCAGCCCAGACATCATGGGTCATCAATGAAATCACATTTGCAAACACCTCCAACTCTTTCACCATGCCAGGCTTCAGCTTTTAACCCATTAAGGATTCTCTTTTTCCCATGCCCCACCCCATTAAGGATTTTCTATTGCACTTGGGATAAAGTACAAAACCCACCACAGGGTCCCTAAGGCCCTGAATGACCCAGCATTAGGCTGGTATCTCTCCCACCTTGACTCATGCACAGCTCTCCCCTCTCCATGTTTCCCACTCTTCCCTCCAGTGGAGAAAAAGTCATTTCCTCCAAGTCCACTCTCTCATTCCTAACAAGGTGTTCATTCTTTCCTAACAAGGTGTTCATTTCCTTCAAGACGCAATGTAAAACTTTATCATATTTGTATAATTACTTTTTTAGTGTTTGTCTTCCAGTTATAGCTGTGCACTCAACAAAGGCAGTGCCAAGCACTTGCTAGGTTCATAGAAGACACCTAAGAAGTGTTTGTTGGCTAGGCATGGTGGCTCACGCCTATAATCCCAGAACTCTGGGAGGCTGAGGTGGGCAGATAGCTCTAGCCCAGGAGTTTGAGACAAGCCTGAGCAACATGGCGAAACACCGCCTCTACAAAAAGTGAAAAACTTAGCCGGGTATAGCGTGCATGTAATCGCCAGCTACACAATTTGGCTGGGAGGCTGAGGTGGGAGGATCACTGAGGCCTAGGTTGTCCAGGCTGCAGTGAGCCAAGATTGTGCCACTGCATTCCAGCCAGCCTGGGTGACAGAGTGAGACCCTGTCTTGAAAGGAAGAAAGAAGGAAAGAAAAGGAGAGGGAGAGAGAAGGAAGGAAGGAAGGAAGGAAGGAAGGAAGGAAGGAAGGAAGGAAGGAAGGAAGAAAAAAGAAAGAGAAGAAAGGAAGGAAGAAATGTTTGTTGCATTAGAATATCAATCTAGACCTTGACCCCACCAAGACAGAAGACAGGTGTAGTGCCCCCTGTTATTTAGAAAAATAATCATAGTGCCGGGCGCGGTGGCTCATGCCTGTAATCCCAGCACTGTGGGAGGCCGAGGCGGGTGGATCATGAGGTCAAGAGATCGAGACCATCCTGGTCAACATGGTGAAACCCCGTCTCTACTAAAAATACTAAAAACCAGCTGGGCTTGGTGGCGCGTGCCTGTAATCCCAGCTACTCAGGAGGCTGAGGCAGGAGAATTGCCTGAACCCAGGAGGCGGAGGTTGCAGTGAGCCGAGATTGCGCCATTGCACTCCAGCCTGGGTAACAAGAGCGAAACTCCGTCTCAAAAACAAAAAAAAAAAGGAAAATAATCGTAGTAGCACTTAATATTTGTATAGTATTTGTCTTTTCAAAGTACTTTAGCATCTATTATCATAATAATAAAGATAGGTAAAAATAGATTGCATACAATAGATAAGTGCTATTTTCCCATTTGACAGGTGAAAAAAAAAAAGTCACAAAGAAAGTTGGATAAAATATCAGAGTAAGGACTAAAGGCAAAATCTCCAACCTACCTGTTTGCACATCCTAATTAGTATGTAAATGTTCTGTCTTATGATCAAACTTGCAGTTGAGATAATAGCTTAATAGGTAAGTGTTCAGCCCTGGAGACAGACTGTTCAGGTTCCAAACCCAGCTCTAGTACTTAACTTGCTGTGTGACCTGGCACAAGTTACCTAACTTCCCTGACCTTCAGTTTCTCTACCTTTAAAGTGTGAATAATAATGCCTACCTGAGGGGGCTGTAGTGAGGTTATAAAGAGTATATTGCTGGGCGAGCTGGCTCACACCTATAATCTCAGTACTTTGGGAGGCCGAGGCAGGTGGATCACCTTAGATCATCAGTTTGAGACTAGCCTAGCCAACATGGTGAAACTCCGTCTCTACTAAAAATACAAAAATTAGCCGGGCATGGTGGTAGGCATCTGTAATCCCAGCTATCTGGGAGGCTGAGGCATAAGAATCGCTTGAACCTGGGAGGGTGAGGTTGCAGTGAGCTGAGGTTGCACCACTGCACTCCAACTTTGGTGACAGAAAGAGACTCCATCTCAAAAAAAAAGTAAATAAAGAGTACATTTACATATCTTTATAAGGATATATGTCTGTATATCTTTAAAATATCCTGACTGTATATTAAGATATATAAATGTATATATGCATGTATACATATATGTGTGTATACAGTATATGTTTATATATTTATATATAAATATAAAGATACACACCCACACATAGTGCTGAGCATGGTACATGGGAAGCACTGAAAGTGAGTTGTTTATTTTTTGTGGAAGTCTCTTGAGAATAATGATTATGTTTCACACTCCTCTGTAAATCTAACATGTAGCACGCTGCCTTTTACAGCAATGTTCAATACAAATGTTTAAGACAGCCTTCCAGTAACACAGGGATTTCTGTTTTCTTAAGTTTACCTTTGCCTGTGAATACTGTTGCCTTTGAGGGTGAATAAAGGTGTGATATGTATTCAATGTGACCATTCCCATGCATGTAACCTTTAAGATGTGATACTTAGGAGCAGGCTTCCAGATGCCTGGTTTCTATTAGTTCTCTCATTTTAGAGACTATTTTCCTGTCCTTCAAAGAAGGACAATTTGCCTCTAACCTCTTTATTCTGGAGTGGGTATATACTATAACATGGCAGTTACTGTGAATTGCCTTAATAAGCATTGAATTAATAGGGTAATCTCCATTCCTATAAGATAGGATAAAAAATTAGTATAGGATGCAAAGTAGTGGGTCAGTTCTCTTTAAAGAAGTTTACTAGAATAGAAAAATCACATGCCATTTGAAAATTCCTTTTTGCAGGAAAAAGTGATAATTTAAAATAAACCTCTAACAAAGAAGTAAAGGTTATGGCATATTACTTAATTTGATTCATCCTTTCGAAAAAAAAATCTCAGGCCAGGTGTGGTGGCTCATGTCTGTAATTCAACACTTTAGA